AGTTGAAGAAAGATTTGGAAGAGGTCCTGTTGAGGGAGAAGATATCTTGGAGGCAAAATACTAAGCATAAATGGATCAAAGAAGGGGATGGGAATACCAAGTTCTTTCATGCTATGGCCAATGGGAGAAAGAGAAAAAATTTTGTGGCCAGTGTTTTAAATGAGCAAGGCACAAAAAAGGCGCAGAGGTCAATTTGCTCTTGAGGTGCAAGGCGCAAGGTGAGGTGCACACCTTTTTGAAGCAAGGTGCAAAAATACGAAAAAAAATGCTAAAAATTAAAAAAATGTCAGAAAAATCAAAAAAAAACAAAAAATTCAAAAAATAAAAAATATTAATAAAAAATATAAACTTAAATTTTAAAATAAATGTTTTAAAAAACCTATTATCTAAAATTAAAATACATAAATATAAGATGTAAAGCATATTCAAATGAGAATTTAAAAATAAAATCAAACATATAAAATATTTTCAAGCATGTAAAACCTCTAATCTCTTTTTTCACTCAATTGCATTACTTCAAGTAGCTAATGTAATAACTTATTACATTTCTCATTCTACGAGCTGCCTTTGTGCCATGCCCCTCGAGGTAAGCCCAAACAAGTCCATGCTATGTGTTAAATTCTTAGTTCTAACATGGACTTGTTTGAGCTTGCCTCGAGGGGCGTGGCACGGGGGTATGGGGGTGGAGCCCTTGGCCCAGCTGCTATGTTAAAAAAAAAAAGCAAAGAAGGCATCAAATTTTCAAAAGGTGCACGCTTGGGCTGAGGCGCAAGGCACATTAGGCGTGTGCCTTTTGAAAGGGCTGCACCTAGGACCTAGGCGAGGCACATACCCTAAAATGTGCCTCGCCTGTGTGCCTAGGCACGCCTTTTAAATCACTGTTTGTGGCCAAGATTAAGGTTGAAGGAGTAGAAATTGAGTCACAAGAGGAGATAGCCAACTGCTTTGCAACTCACTTCAAATCCATTTTGAGTAGGCCGCTGGAGAGACGGGTGAGAGTGGAAGATCTAGATTGGCCAAGTCTATCAGCCGTTGAGGCGGACTGGTTGGAAAGAAACTTTGAAGAGGAAGAGATAAGACAAGTTGCTTTCTCTATGAACAGATCAAAGGCTCCTGGACCAGATGGTTTTACCATGGCTTTCTATCAAGAGTGTTGGGACATTATCAAAGAAGATTTGTTTGAGGTGTTTAGGGAGGTTGAAAACAACCATGTGATTAGTCGCGGAGTTAATGCCACTTTCTTAGCTCTCATCCCGAAGAGATTAGATGCCTAACACCCTAATGATTTCAGGCCCATTAGTTTGGTGACTAGCATCTATAAGATTGTGGCATAAGTGCTTTCTTTAAGGATTAAAAAGGTCCTCCCGTCTCTCATTACTCAAACCCAAGGAGCCTTTGTACAAGATAGGCATATTATAGACCAGATCCTTATAGCAAATGAATGTTTGGAGGAAATGAGGAGATCAGGCAATCAAGGTTTTATTTGGAAGCTGGAAATTGAGAAGGCCTATGACTCAGTGGATTGGGATTTTCTATTAGAAGTGCTAAGAAAATGTGGATTTGGGGATAGATGGTGCAGGTGGGTGAGTGGATGCATAACATCTTACCAGTTTTTAGTTCTAGTTAATGGAGGGGTCAAGGATTTCTTCCCAGCATGTAGAGGGCTCAGGCAAGGAGATCCCCTTTCACCCTTTTTGTTCACACTTGTGGTAGATGTGCTCAATAGAATGATTTCTAAAGCAGATAGGGAAGGGCTAATAAGTGGTTGGAGGATAGGCAAGAATAATGTCTTGGTGACTCATCTTCAGTTTGTTGATGATATCGTCATTTTTGTGAAGGGGGAGACTTAGTGAGAGTGAGGAACCTAAAAGATCGTCTTAAATCCTTTGAGTATGCTTCAAACCTGACAATTAACTTTGACAAAAGTTGTGTGGTGGAAATCAATTTGGAAGTTTGGGAGGTAGAGGCTATAGCAGGTTGTCTAGAGTGTTCCATGTCTGATTGGCCTTTAACCTACTTGGGTCTTCCGTTAGGAGCTAACCCAAAAGAAAGTCGGTTTTGGTATCCAGTTGTTGAAAAGTTTGAAAAGAGGTTAGCTTCTTGGAAAAAAAGTTACATTTCGATAAGGGGTAGAGTAACCTTGATTAGGGCGACACTTGCTAGTCTTCCGATTTATTTTCTTTCAGTATCCAAGATGCCCTCAAGGGAAGCCAAGAAACTAGAAAAGGTGATGAGGGATTTCTTGTGGGAGCCAAGGGAAGAGAAGAAGGATCATTTGATTAGGTAGGAGATAGTCAGTAGGAAGGAAGAAAAGGGATTAGGATTGGGAAACCTAGTTCTTAAGAATGAAGCTCTACTAGGGAAGTGGCACTGGAGATGGCCATTGAAAAGAGAGAGGTTGTGGCACAAGGTGGTGAATAGTATTAATGGTTATTCGCATAATGGTTGGGATGTTGGGGTATCTCGATAGGTGACTCTTGCAACACCCTGGAAGGCTATACACGGAATCCTTCCCCATTTTCTCAATCTGGTCAGGTATGATGTTAATTCTGGAAACAATGTTCTTTTTTGGGAAGACATTTGGGTTGGCAATCAACCTCTTAAAGACCTTTTTCCCTCTCTTTACTCTCTTTCCCTTTATAGGGAAGAGCTGGTTTCCAATTTTAATTCCTCCTCAGCTTCTTCTGTGGCCCTAAACTGGGCTTTTAGTTTCCGTAGAGGGTTACGTGATGATCAAAGTGCTTGTGTTTCAAAACTATTGTCTTCACTTGAACCTATTTGTTCAGATCCCTTCAAACCTGACACAAGAATTTGGACCCCTAACCCGAAAGGCTTTTTCACTTGCTCCTCTTCTACACTCGAATCTATGTGTTTCAGAACTTGACACAAGAATTTGGACCCCTAACCCGAAAGGCTTTTTCACTTGCTCCTCTTTCTTCAAGTCCCTTTGCTCCACTTCTGCACCCCAGAACTTCCCAGTTAAAGAATTCTAGACTAGTCCCATTCCCCCAAAGATTGTTGTTTTTTGTTGGGAAGTTTATTATGGTAAGATTAATACCTTCGAAAACCTGCAAAAGAGGATACCAAAATGGTGCTTATCCCCTAATTGGTGTGTTCTTTGTAAATCTCAGAATGAGGACTATCACCACTTACTGATCTCTTGCTCCTTTGCTACAGCTTTATGGAATTGGAGTTCTATGTTGTTTGAGTGTAGGTGGAACCTGCCATCTGATACTAGCTTATTGTTTAGCCCGTCTATCTTTGAATGGCATACAAATAGAGGGAGAATTATGTGAAGGTGCATAAGAGCAGCTTTGTTGTGGACAGTTTGGGAAGAAACACTATAATTTTTTGTGAAAAAGAAATGAGCTTCTCGGAAATTAAAGAATGTATTCTGACAAGGGCAATTCAGTGGCTAAAAACTCTAAAGCTCTTTGATGCATACTCTTTTAATGACCTATGGAGAAGCTGGTTAGCGGTGGCTAATACTTCTACCAAGAAGGACAGAAATGTGGTTGAATGGATGCCACCAAGGAAGGAGTTTATTAAGCTAAACTTTGATGGAAGTAGCCGAGGAAATCCAGGACCTTCAAGCATAGGAGGAGTGCTGAGAAGCAAAGACAATAGCATTATATTTTTGTACTAAGGTCCTGTGGGTGTGGAAGTCTCTTTAAGGGTCGAATTACTTGTTGTTGTACAAGGAATCCAGCTTGCAAATCAGCTAGGCATAGAGCATCTGATTATTGAAGGGGATTCCCAGGTGATAGTGAGTTGGCTAAAGGATCCGGACATTGTGATCTAGGGTTTTAGAGATCTTCTCAAAAAGGTTAAATGGTTAACAAGGAATATGACAATCAGAGTTCAGTGGGTAGGCAGATCAGCAAACTCAATGGCTGATTCACTTGCAAAACAGGGGGTTCTTCGGGCTACTTTATTTTGGGCTTCTGTGTAATTTCTTTTGTACTTATAATTCTGTAACTAGTTTTAAAGGAAAGGTCGCATCTTGTGCCATTCCATGGGTTACATGTAACTCTTATTTGCTGGTTTAATAAAATCTTACTCATTTATCAAAAAAAAACAAAAATAGAGGATCAGTGCCCTCTTTATCTGAGATAGGAAATAACCCTCTCTGCTTCAGAAATTTCTGATTCTTTTCCTTCCTTTTTTAGGAACAAACAGGGGCTCCGCTCCTTCACAGGGGCTCTGCCCCTTCATCATTTTCAAGTTTCTTTTTGTGCATTCTTTTTTTAAGACAAGAACAGGGGCTTCACCCTTCTCCTTCATCATTTTTTTGGGGTTTTGCTTTCTTTTTTCAGAGACAAAAAACAGGGGCTCTGCCCTTTCTTCTCCTTATTTGTTGTTTTTTTTTTGTTCTTTTTTTTCTATGACAAAAACTGAGGCTTAGCCCCTTCTTTTCTTAGACGACAGTGATTTCTGAGACACTACCTTTAAAACATTAGGAAGAAAAGGGTTATTTTTGAGACATTAACCTTGAAACATTAGGAAGAGAAGATTTATTTCTGAGACACAAGCCTTGAAACACTAGGATAAGCAAGGTTGCCTCTGAGACACTAGGTGACTAAGTGCTTCCCTGTCGCCTAGGTTCGCCTTGGCACCTTAAAACTGTGGAGTAAGATAGTTTTGCCTAGGTTAGCTCAGCATAAGGAAGTATTGATGGGGCTTCTTTGAAGTTTCTCAATGCTTCCCCTTTTATCTGTGCATAACCCACTTCAAAAAACATAAACCCAGGAGACAAGATTATCCCACACTTGGCAGGGATTCAGTTTCTTTTGGAGAGGGCCAAGAACTTCTTTTCTTTTTTTTTTCTTTTTTTTTTCTTTTTTCTTCTTTTTTCTTCTTTTCTTTTTTTTTCTTTTTCTTTTTTCTTGTCTGAGAGTGCCAAAACCCGAAGGTGTAGATTAGAAGAGAAATGTCAACAGGGGGGACTCTAGTCTCATTTTCTTATTCTTGGAGTCACATAGGAGCAATCAGCCACCCACCCATTTGGAGTCAAAATCAGATGACCATGGAAGCTTGCGACCTAGGAGATAAAAATAACTCTACAAAAGAAAATAAACAAGAAAAATAAGAATGAGAAAGTGGGATGAATAGCAACCTTGATGACAATAGAAAAATGTAGAAACAAAAACTGAGAATCAGAGAAAATGCAGAAAATTGCAGGAAATTGTACGGAAATGTATAAAATTGCAGAGCATTTGTAGAAATGCAAAAAATGCAGGGAAATTGCAGAAAAAAATGCAGTGAAAAACCATAAACAGAGCCTCCTTCTCAGGTTCAGATTTTCATATTTACATAGGAAAACTTTGAAGAGGTATATCAAACTACCTTAGACAATGTGATTACATCAGCCAGATGAACAGAAGTTAACTCTAAGTGAGTTGCCATCAACATTTCTTCTGACATTCTGCATTAACCTTTCTTCCAAATGTTATTCTGTCCATACTCTACTTGTAGCATTTAAGTTTTGCTACTTTGTAGTGCATCTGTATACATGATGTAACAATTCCTTTACATAAGTGAAATCTTAAGCACAGCATATCAGATTTGCAGAATTGGCATAGCTTTCCATATATGATTTCTATCACATAACCCACTTAAATGTATATTAGAAAAAATACTCATGGATACCAACTAAAAGCCAGCCACTAAATTGTGATATATGAATATAAAACAAATGATAACAAATATTCAAATTCCACACATATCATTTGCTATTGTGATGCAAGAATATGAACAAGAATTGACACTAGGAGAAAAAACAACTTATAAATATTATATATTCAGCCAAAAAAACAGAAATTCTGGAAAAATACATAAATTGATAAAAATGACTACAAAAGGCATAGAAACAAGTGAATTGAGAGCCGATTAATCGAGCAAACAGAATTAGTAGTATTGTTTGGGATATTTGAGGGCCAAGACCAGTAGAAACAGATAGGATTTTCATCCATTTGCTCTTGTACAAACAAACCACAAAGGATTATTTTGTATTGGTGTACCTAGCAACCACTACACTAGGCTATTCACTGGACTGGAGTTGCATCCATTGAATTAGATTTATGATCGTTTTCAATTCAGCTCCTCATTCTCACCATTTTGTTTCTTTGTTTGACTGTAGTAACTTGTATACTATATTTTCTTGTTGAACTTCTTATATACTCCATAAAAGAGTCTGAACACCAAGCACCAGGCAATTGTATTTGTGATGTTCTGTTACAAGATAATATGTTGGGTTTTTTATATGGCTGGAGGTCTCTGCCTACTTATTATCAAGGTGTCACCTAGGCAACTAGGCGCCCTTGGCTGGGCGCCTTGCCCAAATGCCCTGAGATATAGCAACTAGTTGCCCATCTAGGGGACTAAGCACCTGCCTAAGCAATAAAAATGACAAGGAAGGCACCATATTATAATATCATTTTACTGCATCTTATTAATATGTGTTGTAATGTAATACATTCTATTATACACTATATTATATCATTTAGACTTTGTTATAATGTTTTACTATTGAAATTTAAAAGATCAAAGGATCTTGAGAAGAGAAAAAGAAAGTATGAATAAATAGGTGTATAGAGTGGTTTCGTTTTTTCTATTCTCTCTCCCTCTCATCAATTAAATAAAATAGCACTCCAGCCTTGTTTTTTTTCTATTTTACTTTCCATCTTGAAATTTTATCTTATAAAGTTAATGACCTTCTTTAGTTGCTAATTGATATGAAATTGCTCTACTAAATACTTATAATAGCAGTGTTTAAAAGATTTTTATCTTTTAGATAAGATAATTTGCCACATTTTTAGAGGAAATTTAATGTTCTTAATAAAGAGACTTACTATTGTTTCAATTGATATGCATGCTAAATGGTCAAGGCAGTCTCTAGTCGTCTACACAGTATGGTCAAACTGAAGACAACAGAATATGGTTGGTGTCTTTCCCTAGTTGAAGGTGCATTATTATCACTTCTATTTGGCCATACTGTTTTTGTTGTCTTCAATTTACCTGTACTGGTTGTGTTTCCCAGTATTCTTTGTGTAATATTGTTGTGTGGTTAGAATCTACTCAGGTCTAGAATTATAAGATTCAAAGACATGAGTTAATAGGATGATCAACTACTATGACTTCTGCAGCAACCATATTAATCTTTTTTTTTTATCAAAAACAGAATTTCATTAGAAATATTTAAAAATTACAAGATAGGGAGAGGTAAACTTTCTTAACTCTCCACGGACATACATCTATTACAGTTGAGTCCAAAATAATTGGTTCCTCCCCACCCCATGTTTTGCTAAGACATCAGCAAGACCATTTGCTGCCCTTTTAACCCAACTGAACTGCACTTTTATTTCTCCAGTCATCCACTTGAATCTCTTTTTTTCATTATTGAAAGTCCAGAAACCTTTTTCTTCCTTTTGCAACCACTCCAATACCAACTTTGAATCACCTACAATCAGCTTTCTTACATTCAAACCTTTTGCATTTTGCAATCCTTCCAATGACAGCCATAACCTCAGCCTTTATGGAGTCACCTACTCCAATTGGGCATGAATATAGACCGATGATCTTGCCTTCACTATCCCTAAACACCCCACCAATACCAGATGGGCTTGGATTTCCTGCACTACTCCCATCAAAATTCAGCTTGATGTAGTCAACTGTTAGAGGAGACCAAGCAGGGCTTATATTGGATTGTGGCAATCAAAACTAGCCACTTCCTTCCATTTGTTCATGATATCACCTGTTGAGAAATCAGCAAACATCTCCATAGATTTTACCCAATGAACCACTCTTACCATAATGGTTTCAATGACAGTTTCTCTTATTCTTTCCTTGTCTAAGAATAGTCTTGCATTTCGTTTTTCCCATATAGTCCAGCTCACAGCCATCCTTACACATCTCCATAACACTCGTCCCCTTTTCTTTGGCCATCTCAAGAAAGTAGAAGCAAATTAGCTTTGCACATTAGCCAAGGGAGACCGTCTACACCCAAACAACAAGAAAAACTATTCCCAAATAAAAAGCTACAAAAAGGCAGGAAATCAATAAGTGAGCAAGTTTTTTTAATAGATAAAAATTCAATTGATTTCATTAGAAGCAAATGATAAGGAGTCTGTTACAAGCATCCTGCATCCCAATATGAGGTGCGTAGTGCAGCCTCACTCATTAATACAGAAACATCATAAAGTTACAAGTGGGCCCAGTACAACCGATCCCTAGTTACTTCTTGTTTAGCTAGGGAATCAGAAAAAGCATTTGCCTCCCTCCCCACCCATTGTATAGTTACATCCATCTGCTGAGTTATCCATTTGAATTTCTTCATTTCATTTCTGTAAGCCCAAATCACTGAATCTGGATTTTTTAGCCAACCCACCACCGCCTTGGAGTTCTCTTCTATCACCAAATTTTCCAATCCTAACTCTCTTGCAATCTGTACTCCTTGTAAGTGAAAGCAAGTTTCTCCACTAGCCTTACACATAACACACCAATGTGGGGATAAGCACCAATTAGTTCTTTCCCTTTGGAGTAAATTGCAAGTATTAATTCATTCCAAGAAGACTTCCCAACAAAAACCTCCAACTCTTGGAGGGATGGGATTACCCCATACCTCTCCTTCACCAGGAAAGGTACCCCCAAAGAGTCAAGAAGTTGAATCAAGGCCTTAAAGTAAGAAGCACAAGAAAAGACCCAGAGGAGGATAGGATCCAAATACGACTGTTAGAGGAATCCAAGTAAACCCACCATTAAGGATGCAACCATATTAATCACCTTAATTGTAAGTTTGTAACCATACTTGTACAATCCAGACCAGGCTTGTCTAGACCTAACCCCAATTGTCATGTTACACATTAAGTATTTACATATAAGATAATTTTCATGGTTCTAAGTCTAAACTTCTTGCCTAAGGCCATGGATTGGGAAATGAAGGCCGCATGTCCAACTTAGACGGTGGACAATCATCTAGAAAAGCCTAACCAATCCACTAATCTCTAAATCAACAGAACTTTTAAAGTAATCATTCATTGAAAGGTGCACCCTTATCAACTTCTAAAATGCAGCAGCCTCTAACTCTACCCATTTGCTAATGTTGTTTTCATTCATTCCAATAAAATATCTTCTTAAAAAGCAATTAAAGTTATAAAATCATTATTTTTTATGTGAGAAATGAGAATTTAAGACCTTAACATGGACTTGTTCGGGTTTGCCTCGAGGGGCATGGTACAAAGGCGACTCATAGGATCAAGAATGCAATATGTTTTACATCACATTAGCTACTTGAAGCAATGCAATTGAGGATAAAAAAGAGATTGTGGGTTTTACATGCTTGAAAATGCTTTATATGTTTGCTTTTGTTTTTAAATTTTCATTTGAATACGGTTTACATGTTATGTTTATGTATTTTAATTTTATATAATAGGTTTTTTAAAACATTTATTTTAAAATTTAAGTTTATATTTTGTATTAACATTTTTTTGCATTTTAAACTTGGCATTTTTTATTTTTCTGGCTTTTTTTATTTTTTGGCTTTTTTTTTGTAATTTTGCGCCTTGCTTCAAAAAGGCACGTGCCTCACCTTGCGCCTCAGGCGCAAATTGGCCCTTGTGCTTTTAAAACACTGAAGTTAAGCAATGACCCAATAGGTATCCTCAACCTAACCCACCATAACTCTTTTCCCCTAACCCCAATGGATTACTCTATCCATATTTGACTCGCGTGATAGATGGGTGGATTTCAAGTGAGTGGGTTGGGTAGGTCAAATGGATTGGGTGAAAAATTACCACCCCTACAATAGAATAACTTGGTTCATAGAGAAAGGTGTCAGCAGTATTGTTCTCTAAAGCTAGAAGGTTTAAACACAAACACAAACAAAAATAGATGAGCTACCATGGAAAACCATGGATAACTAAGAACATGGTTGAAAATATGGATTGAACACACAAAATCTCTTCCTCCAACATATAATGAGTTAAAGCCACTGTAAGAGCATAAACATGTGAACCAACAGAGACCCGGTTTAATCCATTCTGAACCTAAACTGAGTCAAACTGAGCCAATAACCAAACAACAATTCAGAGCAAATTATAGGAGTAATGTAAAAATAAGCTAGTGGCCGACAGCTAACCACCTTAGCTGACATGGCCTGGAAAACTCTAGAAACCTGACTTCACTTAAGAAAAGAGGATGAGAGTATAAACAATAGAAATATCCTAGAATCTAAGGGGGGGTCTGGCTGTCTTTCACTCTCTCACACACCCTCTCAGTCTCTCCCTTTCCCTCTCCAAAGAGTAAGTAGTGCAGCCCCTCCGGGGTCTGACCACTACCTTTCATCCTCCGACCAACCCTGCCATCTTCCCTCAGACTTTTGGATAACATTGGCCACCGCTAATCCATGTTGAAACACCCACCAAGGGTTACAATCATTCCTGGCAACTTGAAATCTTTTTTGGATTCAACAAGCAATGCATTTGCATGGAAAAGGTCAGTAAAATGTTTCTCTGAAAAAGGAAATCAGGAAGACATTGTGCTTTCAACTTAATTAATGCCACTGAGCAAGGTACTCTCAATTCTCAGCCTGGTTTCACGTCCCCAATGATCAAGGATCCTTCAGTTTTTTTTTTTCTTCACTTGATTGTTTTATATATTTTTCTATTTGTTTTTAGAACCGGGTTTCCTTGGTTTCTGCTTCGTAGTTAATTTCTGTCTCTTTTTCTTCTTCTTTCATGAAGACCCATTTCCATTTGGTAAAACTTTCCAATGCATCATTTGCTTTGTTGGGATTTCCGAGTTCAACTCCTACAATGGTTGGTTCAATTTCCAAAAGAAGAGCACGTTGTTACGACTGCTTTGAAGTTTGAAAGAATCTATCTTCATGGTTGTTTAATGAAAATTTTTGAGTTGAAACTTGTTGTAGTTGAGGTCTTACTGGGCTGGTTGATTTACAAATAAATATTGCAAATAAACTGCAGATACGGAGGTTTCGTTCCTAAAATAGAAAAAAATTACAGAGTGGCCTTCCTTATGTCCTTAGCACTAACATGCCTTGAAACAAAATCTCTAAGATTGGAATCGGATGAATGAGTTCCCAGTGGAGTTCTATCTTGAATTTTGGGACAAGACAAGAGAATCGCTTACTCATGATTTATTCCTCAGAACAGAAGAGACATCAAAATTGAAAGAAATTCGGAAAACAGACATGAAACAGTTAAAATTATTACAAGGGCAGAGGGAGAGATGAATTGTTATTTCTAATGAGAACTGTGTCAGGTAAATCCCCAATACAAAACACAGGAACCGTGAAAAGAAAACGCAGTTCAACTTCGTTTTGCTCAATGAAGAAGGAAATACCTGAGGTTGTTTGGAGCAAACTGTGAGAAGAAAACGCAGTTCAACTTCGTTTTGCACGGCGTCTGAGAAAGAGGACGATGAATACAGAGATTCCGTGAGATGATAAGCGGCGAGTTGGAAGAGAGAAGGGTCGTCGCCTCGTCGGTGGTGCTGAAGATAGAGTTGTAGACAATGGTGGCGTTGAAGCTCTTCTCCTCCTCTGCAAACAGTGAAGAGCGGCGGTTAAGATTGGAGAAAACTCGGAACAATCGACCCTTAAACCTAACGACCCGATGGGCGATGGTTCCCTCGATCCAATCCACCTAACCCATTTTCTGACGACCCCGATGGGTACTCGATCCGTAGTCGACCCAGAAGGGTATGGATGAGATACAAATGGGTGAAATTGATGGATCAACTGGAATCACTATTCTTTGATTTTTTTGGGGTAAATTGCTGATTAGTACCTATAATTTGGGGTTAGTGTCACTTTGTACCTAAGGCTATATGTTTGGTTACAGTGCAAATTTAATACCTAAGGCTATGTTTGGATTTTACTTCATTTTGCTTCATGTTTTAATTTACTCAAACAAAATAAGCTAAAATTTATATGTGTGTCAGAATCTACACTCAAATCATTTGTATTGTGATGGTTTTGCACCAGTGCAGATTTATTTGCATTGCAACCAAAGACAGAAAATTCTTTCCCCTTCATCAAGCTTTGCCATGCCCAAGAGGGGTGAGCTTCCATATCTGCCCCCCAAACTCCTTGTGATAAAAATACTAACCCTTCAACACCTTGAACAATGAATTATGATTCTAAATGAGATTCCACACTATTTCGCAAAAAGAACCCTGTTAAAGGCTTTGAGATCACGAAAACCCAAATGCCCCTCCATTGATTTATAGATCCCCTCATCTAACCTAGTGAAACCCCTTCATGTTTTCCCTGTCACTGATAAAATTTTGCCATTCTACTATTTATGAGAAAACAGTGCCATGTAAGCGCCATTAGAGAAAGCGGTGCTTCAAACAACATCATCTTGTTTGGTACCATTTTTCTAGGAAAAAAACATTGCTCCAAACCATACCTTGGAAATTGGAAAAGTGTGGTGTGGAGCAACACCAAATTCAATGTTTTTTCTGAGAAAACAAAGTATTGTTATCAACAATGCAATGATGTGGCATCATCTTGGACGTTAGATAATATAGACTATGTTGAAAATGTTGCTGCCACCATGGTACCAAACAAAACCAGTGCTGTTTTCTCATAAAAATAGTCTATGTGGCAGCACTGGTTCCAAACAAAAATAAGCACTGCTTACAACTCCACATTCCCAGCATCATTTTCTCATAAACGGTGTGATGTTCCTAGAACCGATGCCAAACACCTACTGAAAATGTTGCATTGTTTAAGTGGGAGTTGTCATTGCTACAACATTGATTAATACCTCCTTACTTGCCTTAGAAAGTATATCACTTTGCTAGTTTGCCACTCTTGCATCCAATCTCTCTTGGATATTTGGAAAGACCTCTCTCCTATGCCTCCCTATTTCATGGGGAAGGCTTGGATAATTTGATTAATTTCCACCCATTGGAATATGAAGAATTCAGACTGGAATACATTCAACGTATTGTTGATCTCTTTACATTGGACTAGATTTACTTTGGTTAAGATTAAAGTGTCATCTCCAAAAAAAGGAGGTGGGAGAGCTTTGGGCCACTTTTGCTTAAGTTAACACATTCTACCCTTATTTTTACCATCTATTGCTTCCCAAATTTAGAGAAACCTTGCATCACCATCAAGAATATGCAAGGGAAAGGAGGGTTTTCTTACCTAATACATTTTGAAGGTTTAAATTCCCCATACGGGCTTTCATGTATTAATATTTAGTAATAAGAAAAGAGGGGAATGCACACCTCATCACCAAATCAATCCAACCATCTTTAAAACCCAATGTTGTATTACCATAACTAGGAAGGGCCACTCCACACTATCATAAGCTTTCTATCTATCTATCTACATATCTATCTATCTATCTATCTCTCTCTCTCTCCCCCTCTCCCTCTATATGTATAATTATTTTTTGTTTGTATTTTTGTGTGTAAAAATAATTATGATATGTCACACTTACTTTTTGTTTAATATGATAATTATATGATGTTATATATATGCACTATTTTTTTTTACAAAATTGATGTATTTTTTCATTTTTTTATATTTTTATATTTCATTAATTGTTTGATGATTTGTGAATGATAGTAACAGTAAAAAATATGATAGGAAGACAAAAGAGAACTTAGTGGATCAAGAGAAAAGATTTGAAGTTGTATTCTAATATTTTTCTTTGATGAACCGAAGCAGTACAGAAGGGGGATATATATAGTAGATGGAGTCGGTTGAAGAAGAACCGATGTACATTGAACTGAGACTCACATTAACTCACCTTGGGAGAGGTATCGACTGACTTTGGAATATACAACGACTTTCATTGGAATGAAACAAACATTGAAAGGGGCTTAACTTTACTGTTATTCGAGGGGACTGATTCAACGACTTCTGGAAATGTGAAGCAGCATTTAATACTCCTCCTTGGTGCACATTTCAGCAATTCCAATCATGTCTCGTAACAATTCGAACTTGCCTTTTGGTAAAGCCTCTGTGAATACGTCAGCTAATTGTTCTTCAGTTTTGCAATGTCAGAGCTCTATTTCTTTGTTTCCTTCTACTTCTCTGATAAAGTGATACTTGATGCCAATATGTTTGGTTCTGCTGTGAAATATGAGATTCTTTGCCATTGCAATAGCAGATTTGCTATCGCAGTAGATTTCAGTAGCACCAACTTGTGGTTCTCCCATGTCATCAAATATCCTTTTGAGCCATATAGCCTAGTTCGTTGTTATTGCTGCTGCAATATATTCAGCTGAAGATGATGATTGGGCAACAGTTGCTTGCTTCTTTGAAGCCCAAGAAAATATTCCTGATCCAAGTGTGAAAGCATAACCAGATGTACTTTTCATGTTATCTACCGATCCTGCCCAAACACTGTCTGTGTAGCCAATGAGCTTAGAGTCATGTGTGACTCTGTACCAAATTCCATAGCTCTTTGTACCTTGCAAATACCTTAATATTCTTTTAGCTGCTCCATGGTGGACTTGACTTGGGTTCTGCATGAATCTCGATAGTAGACTAACTGCATACATGATGTCTGGTCTTGTAGCAGTTAAATAGAGAAGACTACCAATCATACTTCAAAATTGTGATTCATTTGCCTTTGGTGAGCCATCTTCCTTTTTGAATGCTTTAGTGTTGTCTAGTGGAGTGGAGACTGTTTTGCACCCCTCCATTTTGAATTTCTTCAAAAGAGTTTCTGTATACTTCTTTTGTGAGATGAATGTCCCTTCTTCTTCTTGGGTTATTTCAATTCCAAGAAAATAGTGCATTAGGCCTAAATCAGTCATTTCAAAAGTCTTCATCATGTATTATTTGAACTTCTTTACCATCTTCTCATTATTTTCAGTATAAATAAGATCATCAACATATAGAGAAACAATGAGAGTGTCATTTGTACCTTGAGTTTTAATGTAGAGTGTTGGTTCACTATAGCTCCTCCTGAATCCTTGCTCCAATAAGTAATTGTCGATTCTGTTGTACCAAGCTCGTGGAGCTTGTTTTAAGCCACATAGTGCATTATTTAATCTGAGAACTTTGTCTTCTTGTTCTTGCACTACGACCCCTTGAGGTTGCTCCACATAGATTTCCTCTTTAAGATAGTCATTGAGGAATGCAGATTTTACATCAAGTTGAAAAGTTTTCCATTTCTTCTGTGCAGCTAGTGCTATCAATGCCCTGATTGTGTCAAGGCGAGCAACTGGAGCAAATGTCTCATTGTAGTCGATACCGTATTGTTGTGAGTATCCTTTGGCAACTAGCCTTGCTTTAAGCTTTCGGATCGAGCCATCTGAGTTGAGCTTTGTCTTGTAGACCCACTTAACTCCAATAGTGTCTTTGTCTTGTGGACGATCCACAAGCTCCAAAGTCTCATTTTTTTCAATCATTTTTATTTCTTCATCCACTACTTTTCTCAAATTTTATTCCTTAAAAGCTTATTCAAAGCTTTATGGTTCTATGATCATCAAATTGCATGTTTCATATATTTTTGTTAAGGATTTAGTTCGCCTTGGTGGTGAGTCCGGAGTAGACTGTGAAGCTTATTCCGGTTCCGATTGTATTGGCGAACTGATTTGATCATGATCTTCTTCAATTCTTTGACTTGGTAATAGAGGCAAGTTGATAGTCTTTATTTCAACTTCTTTTGTCTCCCAATTTTATGCAGTATCCTCGTCAAAGCTTATGTCTCGACTGATTATGAGTTTTTCTTTCCTTAAGCTATAGACTCGATAGCCTTTTGATTGAGTGTTATAGCCTAAGAAAATTCCTTTCTCASTCTTCTCATCCAGTTTGCCTATTTTCTCTTGTGGGACATGGGTGTAGCATATGCATCCGAAAACTCTGAGATGCTTTATTGATGGTTTTTGCCCACTCCAAACTTCAATTGGTGTCCTATCTTGCACAACTTTAGTAGGACATTTGTTGAGCAGATAGACAACAGTGCTTACTGCCTCTGCCCATAAAATTTTGGGAAGACTCTTTTCCATGAGCATGGCTCTTGCAATCTCCATAACTGTTATGTTTTTTCTTTCGGATACTCCATTATGTTATGGAGAGTACCCGACTGTAAGTTGATGCTACATGCCTTCATCTTCACAGAACTTGTTGAATTCATTAGAAGTGTATTATTTGCCTCTGTCACTTCTTATGGTCTTTATGTTGTGACCACTTTGCTTCTCAACACGGGCTTTGAATTTTTTAAAAATATAAAAAACCTGCGATTTTTCTCGCAATAAATAAACCCATGTCATTCTAGTATAATCATCAATGAAGAGGATGAAATACCTGTTTTGATTATTTGACGGAGTACGCATTGGACCACAAACATCTGTATGAATTAACTCCAATGGCTCTTTGGCTCTCCAAGCTTTGCCGGATGGGAAGGGTTGTCGATGTTGTTTTYCGAGCATACACCCTTCACAGACATTGTTGAACTCCTTGATAGCTGGTAGGTCACACATCATGTTCTTTTGTTGAAGAATCCTTAATCCATGGAAATTAAAGTGTCAGAATCTTCTATGCCATAGCCATGACTCATCCACTTGTGCTTGCATTGCTATATAACTTGCATCTTTCCATTGAATGGGGAAGCATCTGTTTTCTGTCATTTTTGTTTTTGCAATTTCCAGGGACTTGTCTTGCTTATCATAGATTGTGCAAGAGTTTCCCTCAAAATGTAAAGAGTAACCTCTTTCTATCATTTGGCCCACACTGAGTAGATTTTGATCAATTGGGGACCAAAAATACATCATTTATGTATTTCTTGCCTTGTTTGGTGTCAACAATAATGGTGCCTTTGCTGGTTGCTTCCATGAAGTCGCCGTTACCAATTTTGACTTTTTTCTTGATTTTATCAAGACTATGAAAGATGCTTTGATTTTTAGTCATGTGGTTACTGCACCCACTGTCAAGATACCAAGTATCATTTTTTTCTTCTACTGCAGAATGACAAGCATAAAATATATTATTTTCCTCATTTTTCTTTTTTGAAAAATTAGCTTGATGTGTTTTCTTGAATCTACAAACTTTTTTAACATGGCCAAATTTTTTACAGTTTTGGCACTGTGGTTTTCTTTTAAACCAACAATCTTTCTCCAAGTGGTTTCTCTTATTGCAAATACCACATGAAGAATACTTGCCATTATTTTCTTTTGGTTTTCCTTGTGACTTTCTCCCATCAACTTTTGGTTTATGAGACCGCAGATTAACTTTAGACTGAAAGACAGCTTCAACCGAATTTTCATTTTGCCTATCATGCCTATTTTCATGTCTCGAGAGAGCCCATTAATTCAATTGGTGATAGTGTTTCTAGATCTTTTGTTTCTTCTATCACCAAAATTATTGCATCATATCTCTATGTACAAGAGATTAAAATTTTTTCGACTATTTTCTTGTCAGAAATAGTCTCTCCATAGGCTCTCATTTGATTTACTATTTCTTTTATTCTAGAATAGTAATCTTTTGYAGTSTCAWTATCCTTCATCTTAAGATTTTCAAAATCCCTTCTAAACTTCTGCAATTTAACAGTGCGTACCTTGACAGATCTTTGAAACTCCTCTTGTAGTGTATCCCATGTTTCTTTTGCAGTTGATGCGCCCATAATTCAAGGAAATATCTCCTCAGCCATTGCTTGCTGCAAGCAGAATAGTGCTCGACAATCCTTTTGTTGATTATCTTCATAGATCTTCTTTTGATTTGCTGAAAGAGTAGAGGTATCTTCAGCAATGCAGAATCCTTCCTCAACGATTCTCCATAAACTTTGTGACCGAAAATATGTCTTCATTTTGATGGACCAGAAGTCATAGTTTTCTCCATTGAAGATTGGAAGAGAAAGGGTGGAACGATTGGCTTTTGCACACATAATGTTTAGAAGAAATCACGCCCAAGAGATTGATCGAACGAGCTCTGATACCACTGATGATTTGCGGATGATAGTAACAGTAAAAACAGTAAAAAATATGATAGGAAAACAGAAGAAAACTTAGTGGATCGAGAGAAAAGATTTGAAGTTGTATTCTGATATTTTTCTCTGATGAACCAAAGCAATATAGAAGGGGGATATATATAGTAGATGGAGTCGGTTGAAGGTGAACCGACGTACATTGAACTGAGACTCACATTAACTCACCTTGGGAGAGGTATCGACTGATTTTGGAACTAATTAACTTTGGAAGATACAACGACTTTCATTGGAATGAAGCAAACATTGGAAGGGGCTTAACTTTACTGTTATTTGAGGGGACTGATTCAACGACTTCTGGAAATGTGAAGCAACATTTAATATTGTTATTACTTATTTATAAAATTAAATGTTAACACAATTGATAAAAAACTTGAACTATTGGTCTTTATCAAGCAATAAGATAATTTCATTTTTGGTCAGTTCTAAATTATGTATTTCATTTTCAGTATCAATAAAAATAATTATTGTTTATTACACTTATACTCTATTTTGATTAATAAAAATATTACATTTGTGCATATTTTCTTTTGCATTTTTTGTAAGTTGATATATTTACTTATATTTTAAAAATTTTACTACCTAACTATAACTTCATAGGTTGATCAATTTGATTTAGATGGTTGAATTACTTAGCCACCACTTGGATAAATAATGATATTCTTTTTTAGTCATTTTTAAAATAGATGTGTTTATATTGTTAACTATATTGATATAGATCTAATTGATAGTATTTATTAGTGAAAAATAACTTAAATATATAATTTAATAAGAAAAAATTGGAGTTAATACTTTAAGTATACAACTTAATGAGAGGGGATTAAATAAGGTGGAAAGTAATAATTGAAGTTATATTTTCAACCAAATACACAAATATAAATATTTTAATATCCATTAAAATTGTAATAAAATGACTTTTATACTCATTCTCACATAAAAAATCAAAAGATAATTTTAATAAAAAAAACCCTCCAATTTACATCAACACTTTTATATATTGGTATAGATATAAATGGTTTGAGCCAGCCTATGCAATGACCAATGAGGTCAATTCTTAGGTTTGGTCCAGGATTGGGCTGGGCCGAGCCAGATTCTTTTTTCGCGGGTTTCAGATTCCAATCCAATTGCATCCCTCCAGCGTGGTAGGTGGGACCCAATCAAATCACACTAAACGAAAATACAAAATGCAGTGTTTTTATGTTATTTAATAAATATTAATTAAAATAGGGCGCCCATTAAAATATGGGAACCAACGTAAACCTGGTGACTGGGGTTTGTAGCGGAGAAGCCTGTTTCTCTCCTTCTCTTCCCAGCCTAAAAATTAAAAATTAAAAAATAAATAAAAAAAATAAAACACAGAAATAAAGCGACATCTGCATCTTCTTCTTCTCCTTTTCGACTCAAAAACTTGGGAAAGAAAATTTGATCCGGTACTGTGTTCATCTTCACCCTGAATTTATTTATTATTTTTTTCTTTTCCCCCTTTTTTGTAATATTTATTCCCTGCATTCCAATTTATTGTATTTTTCTTTTTTTTTCCACAAAATTTGCGGTTTTTCGTTATTATTTCATTTATCAAATTGTTTCCGAAATTCAATATTTCTGTTTATTCGAATGAGAATCTTGACGTAGAAAACATTATTCTTGATTCTTTTTTGTATTCATTACGTTTTGGATCGGCAAGTTTGAATTTTTGCTTACCGAATTGAGTTTCCGTTGTTTTTTTCTTGCGAATTTGATTATTCTGCGAGAAAATTTATTGAGTAATAGCTTATTTTTGTCAATTTTTTTCTGTTTTTTTTTCTCATTGTTTATTTGTATTATATTCAATTTTACAGAAGAATTTGATCTTACATTTCACGATCTTTTTGAAAATCTGTAACTTGAATCACATTGTTTCTCTATTTCGTTTTTGATTTTGGTGGGCATCGTTTTTCATATACAAATTACTTCTGCGACGAGCAATCAATAAACTCTACCGATAAGGGGAGAGAAAAAAAAATCTTCCCTTTCTTCCATACTATCGTCCACATTAGCTGCATTTTGATTGACAAGGTCGACCTTTAATTTCCATGCAACGTATTGGGTTGCAGTTAGATTTTCGAGCTACGTTGTTTTTCACCGGAATACTGAAATATTTAAGGGTTGTCTTCTTGAGGTGTCTGGTCTGACGAAATTAGGCCTTTTCTTTTTTACGTTACTCTTTGATGGGATTGAGAAGGTTGGATTTCGATGTTGGAAATCAAGAAAGAGAATTCAGAAGGATTTGAGATATATTTTTGATGGGGAACACATGTGTTGGACCGAACGTGGGGAACAATGGATTCTTACAGTCGGTCTCAGCTGCAGTGTGGCGACAACGTGGGACCGAGGAATTGGTCCCTACTCAAAAGGAAGCGGATGGTAGCAGTAAGGCTTCTGCTGCTGCTGCAGCGACCTCTGCCCCGAAAGAATCTCAAACTGCTCTGCCTGTCCAAAGTACACCACCTGAACCAGTTACGATCAGTGAAGAGGTACCTAAGCGTGTAGAAGCAATAAGTTCTGATAAGCCAGGTGAAAAAGTGCAGGAAGCTAAACCAGTGGAACCCACAAAACCTAAGAAACCTCCAAATTTTAAGAGAATGGCAAGTGTAGGGCTTAACATAGATTCTGTGTTACAGAGGAAGACTGAGATTCTGAAGGAGAAATACAGTTTGGGGCGGAAGCTCGGACAAGGGCAATTTGGCACAACCTTTTACTGTCTGGAGAAAGGAACTGGGAAGGAATTTGCATGCAAGACGATCGCAAAAAGAAAGCTCACAACTGCAGAGGATGTAGAAGATGTGAGAAGAGAAATTCAGATAATGCATCACTTAGCAGGCCACCCAAATATCATCTCAATTGTGGGTGCTTTTGAGGATGCTGTTGGAGTTCATGTCGTTATGGAGTTGTGTGCTGGTGGAGAACTCTTCGACAGGATTATTCAGAGGGGGCATTATTCAGAAAAACAGGCAGCTGAGCTTGCGAGAGTTATAGTTGGTGTTGTTGAAGCATGCCATTCCTTGGGTGTCATGCATCGAGACCTGAAGCCTGAGAATTTTCTATTTGTCAGCCAGGGAGATAACGCACTGCTTAAAACAATTGACTTTGGACTGTCAATATTTTTTAGGCCAGGTACATGTTTGAGAGTCTCTTTTTACGCTTACATTCTTAAGTTTGAAGTGTTGCTTTTGGAATACTTGCCGACTAGTGTTCTAGTCCTATTTATGCACCAAAAATTAAAGATAAAAAGCACCGATTTATTTTGGTTTTCTGAATAGTCCATCTTACATGATTTTTCTATCAATGCTATGTTTTTTTTTTTTTTTTTTGATAAATGTTCTATCAATGCTATGTTGCATGATTGGCTTCAATAATTTAAACTTTTGGGTTCATTATTTGGGTATAGATATTTGCTCTAAGAAGGTGTAGAACAAACCGCTAAATTTATTTAATTCCTTCTTTGCCTATAACAAATTTTGAAATGCAATAATCAACAATGAATAATTTCAAAAAGAATGAAAGATACATAAAAAAAGTCATTACCCAATGCTTGTCCTGGCTATTCAAGGTGTAGGGAGGGGTGGACTGGATATAGATGTAACCTAGAGGACTATTCCACATGAAGTGGCCACTCTCAGACTTGAATCTGTACCATTGCACATTTGCACCAAGCAATGACCCTAATAAAGTTACATAAATAATGTACTAGTAGTACATAAATAAAAAAAATCTCAGTATATTGTACTTTTCAATTATTAGTTGTCAAAAGGATGTGTAATTGTAAATGCCATTTAGTTCTAAAGTCCAAACCATTTTTGTAGGACTGCATGAAGCTAAAATGCTTGTGAATGAAAGGTATTATAAAAACAATTGGTTTTAGATTTATTAACACAATTTATTTACTTTCAATAAGGACTCAGGAGGGAACATTACTTTGTAATGGTAAAATATCAGGCTGACAAATGTGAGAATGCATGCTTGAGGTTGAGAGCAATCACTTTGTGAAAAAAATGCCAAAGGTTAGGTCCATATCCTAGTCTACCCCTCCCAAGATCCCAGATAGCTGGGACCAATATTTGGTAATGACCTTTTTTAAGGACACTAGGACTTTTGATTGATTAAGTATTGTGGTTGTAGTTTCTCTTTTTATATATTTTGAAAGCAATCAAAGCATATTAGCTAGAGTATGTGGTGGTGATGTAGAGGACTAGAATTAACAGACACAAGATATAAAGAGAGAAGAGTAGAGAGAGAGAGAGGAGAAAGAGAAAAGAGAAAGAAATGCCAATGAATCACTCACTCTAAGGGTCCTAGAATCACTCCATACAGCAAACTTGCAAAAGAACTTTCAAGAAATCTTCATTCATTGGAATCTTTTATTTTTTCATCCATTGGAACCAAGAGGAAGAGAATATATCTATTTTTTTCTTCAAAAAAAAAAGAGTGACTTGTGTGATCTGGAATATTGTTCACAATAACTTTCTACCTACAAATGCAAACAAACTGAAAAATGAAAGAGAAGCACTAATAAACTAGAGGAACAAGATGTTATAGCCCAGGACCACATGGGGCAGGTTAAAATTACGAAAACACCCCTGCATTAGATGGTCAAGACTGGATCTTATGCAGTAAAAAAGTGAAAAGCTATGGTTAGATTGGGTAAGGCACTATGCCTTAGAGGCTTCACTGCCAATGTGTTAGGACATGATATAGCTTTCATTTTCTGTGTTTGAAGTTGTATTATGACATTGTATTAAGTTGAATAATTTCAAGCTGTACCATGAATTCAATGGCTGTAGCAAGAGTGCTTTCAGAGAATTTTCTTGAACATGGCATCCTTAGAACTGTCTCCATCCATCACAACTTAGTCTACAATCTACATGGGTATAAATAGATGATACGAGGTAATGGCTACCTTGGTTTTGTGATTTTATATGGTTGGAAATGATAAATCTCATTCCAATTTTTAGACTAAAACATAAAAAAAATTAAGGTTGTTTTTCCCCTAGGCCTGTCAGTGAGAGATTCAGTCAACTTATAAGTATGGTTCTCAGTTTTCTTTATCCACAAGTTATTATGGAAGGCATTAATTGATGTCATGGAAAAAGATCTAATATATTATATATTAAGCAAAGTGGTTTTGTTGTATGCATTTGGAGGCTTTTTTTTGGCCAAAAAAATTCTTTTGTAAGTTCTATCTTCTAATCTAATATGTTTAAGTAATCATTGTCTGTTAGTTTGGCTAAAAACAGTAAAAACATGTAATAAACTCAATTCGATTTTACAAAGATTTATCTAATTATCCATGTCAGATACGTGAATATTGTTTTGTCATTCTGATATCTCAGGATTGATTTCTTTTCCTAACTGTGAGCCCTTAGGCCTTTTCCTACTTCTCAACTTATTTCCTTTTCACCCTTCCCCTAGCTCAACTTGCACCAAATCAGTCTCCTCTATGGTGCAATTCATATCATTCCGTACACATGGCAAAAATATTCTATTTTATTTTCTCTCATTGTTACATATTGGGGTTATTTTTATGTTCCAACAATTAATTAATTTCTAATTCTATCCTTTCCACTCTTTCCATATATTCTCAGCATCCTTATTCAGATACTCTTCTATGAACATGGTGCTGTTGGCTGCCAACATTCTTCTATATAAGAATTTCTGCTCTTATAACTGCTTTATGGAATTGCTCTGTGATCATAAACACTCTAGAAACACATATTCACTTCATCCATACTTCTTCAATTTTGTGGATAGCATTGTATTAACCAGGGTGTGAAAATGACATCTGAGGTGTTTCTTGGTCATCAATGTGAATTATTTGGTTCTACTTTTATTGCTAAAATTATCTTTCAAAACTAATCTAAAGCAGTTAACAGACAAGCAGGAGGCAAAAAGTAATTGAAAGAAATGGTTTGGTTGCAACTCCAGGTCTTACTTTTTTGCCTCCTTATGCATCTTTAAGACTCCAATGCTTTTGGTCCTGCAACGAACACAATATGATTTTCTATCTACTGAACGTGCTACTCTTTCTTTCTCCATCAAACATGCAAATCTGTTCTCAACCCAGTTGAGGGTCATCTATGCTGTGCACAAACCAAGAATAATATAAGAGTTTTGTTCTAGCCTCCTAAGTTTTTGCCTTTGAACAGTTGGGTTTTGCTTGATTTCATACATTTTCTAAGAAAGACAATGCACAATATTTTTGACTGATTAGAGGACCTGTATCTTTGATAAATCTGAAGGATCATGCATGATCTTTGCGGCTAATGCTCAAGTTAGAAATTGTTTTCTCCCTTTTATTTTCCAAATAAATAAGTAATAGAAATTAAGCTTGAAACATAAAATATAGTATGGAATTCTTAATAGTTGGATATTCCCAACTGCCTAGTGGTTGGGGGAAATTTAAAGTGATAGAACTTGATTGATTGAAACAAACCATTTTTATATTATGTATCAGTCTTATAATGATTAGACTGATTAGTTGGGACAGATATCTGTTGAGTATCTGTCTTAGAAGACAATTAAACATCACATTTCATTGGTATTTTTTCGATTTCTTATTATTTCTGTCTTTTCTGTGAGACATTAAACATTCCTGTATGGCACAAGCCGCACAACTCTATGCTGTCAATTACAAGATTGTCTTTTTTTGCTGTATAGCTATTAATTCCTGTAGAATGTATGTGCTTAAATTTTCTGAACATGAGTTATCCTCTCCCTTTTGTTGTCATGAGGAGGTAACAAATACAAGAGATAAGGGCAGGAGATGAAAGTGGTTCATAGGAGTTCTGAGTTGTTGTATAAGTATAAGCGATTCTGTGGAAGATGAAGACATGGAAATTAATACCTTCTAAAGAGCACAAAAGTGTCAATATGGTTGATGAGATTGCTTATGAATTCATAATCAACAAAAACTTTGTAAATTTCCTTTTAATTTTCATGCACAAACAAATAACAGAAAAATCTTTTGTTTCTATAATTTTATTTTTTTCTTATTCTCATTTCTCTTCTTTCCTTTTCTCTCATTTTCTTTGCAACCACAGTGCAATGAATAGAAGGCAAGGATACTCCTTAGGACATAGAACATAAAAGGATTACCACGGTTATAAATTATGCTTACCATTGTACTGTAAACCACACATTGTATGCATTATTCCCTTGTGGCTGAAAAATAGATGTCAGACTTGACCATGTTGAGGACAAATCTATCTGTAAGCCATTTTAACAATATCATCTAATTTAGCCTCTGACCAAATAAGGAGTCATTAGCAACATAATGCATACTTGCTCATGTAAACATTATGAGTAGCTTCTGTCAATGTCAAACATGGCTATATTATGAACAATACAAAGGATTTTGGGTGTAGAGTCTGTAGACTTTTGGTTGAGTTTACAAATTGTTTCTGTCGATGCATAAAATCTTGGTTTCTGGATTGTTTCTTGTATTCTGGTCATTTTTTTCTGTTTTTCTCATGTAAACAATTATGAGCTGCAGCTGGGAAGGTACTTATCATATGCTAATCTCTTGTTCATTTGCATATAGTATTTGGGATTGGGTTTTTGATCTTTTTGGGTGCAGTGGATCCCTCCATCAGAACTGGTGGCTCCATTCAATAATGCCTTGTTCAATCAAACAACAAGAGAGGGAAAATATTATGGAGATGCACTAGGGCAGCAGTGTTTTCATCCATTTGGGAAGAAGGGAATGGGAGATTATTCAGAGATAAACGCCGAAGATAGGAGAGTTATCATAGACAATATCACTATGGAAGTGGTTTATTGGATAATTTGGATTAGAATAGTGGAGATATTTTACTCATTTCCACTGGTAACATTATTAGAAAGTAATCAGCTGGTTGCAAACTCCTCCGTTATGAGAGTTTTTGTTCACTCTCAATGTGAACCTCCACCAGTTAACTCAATCAAACCTAATTTTGACAGATGCAATAGGGGTATCCTAGGCCCATCTAAAATAGGATGGGTCTTTAGAAAAGTAGTATGAAAACCTGAGAATAAAGTTAGAAAAGAGAAGAAAAATTAGGTTGTGTTTGGTTTGAAGGAAAAAGTAGGGAAAGGTAAGGAAACCTTTACAAATCTTGTATAGGTTCCCTTGCCAAAAAGTACTAGATTACATATGGGTACAGAAGAACAAACAGCTGATTCAGGAAGCTCTAGTCACTTGGCAAAGATTTCTGCCTCAAGAAGATGCTACATGGGAAGACTGTTCACTGCTGTGCCAACAATTTCCTCACTTCACCCTTGCAGATGAGGATGCTTCGGGGGTGGGGGACCTGTTAGAAACCAAAAACAAAGCAAACCAATTATCCAGAAGGTCTACTCAAGGAAGAAAACACGTGGGGTTAAATCTGTTGTACAACAAACTAACTAATGCAAGTGGGATTCTTGAATTCTTAATTTTGATTCTTGAACTACTACAGATGTCATTGTACAAGTATAAATAAGTGGGCTGGGAATAAGAGAGGTTACCTTGAGTTCGAATAGATCTGCTCTCTCTCTCTCTCTCTCTCTCTCATTCTCGCTTCTTAGGAGATTACACTCTCTCGAAGTAGTATCTGAGTTGGGCAGGAACCTAACACATATCTTGTAAACCATGCAAGATCATTGTTGAATTGCCATAGGGTGGATAGCCTACTTAAAGTGGCTCTGGAGTCCTAGAACTGTGAGCTTGGTTGAATTCTCCATTGACCTTCTTATGCCTTTGGGTTTGGACCTTTTGGCCTGTGGATCCTGCTATATTACAGTTAGGTTCATATTACATTTCAAAATATTATGCCTTTTTGTTTACCATGCAACTTTATTTCTGCAAAATATGTACTAGATCCATTTCCACGTCCACATGAAAAACGTTTTTTGAGTGTTCAGAGCATAATTTCACCATATGGATGCAAGAAAGTTATAGTTCTGGACTCTCAGTGCAGTTGATACTAGATTTTTCTTATTTTTTAGTTAAAAAGATTTTATGTGTCATCCCACATTGATAAAAAATTAATAAAATATTCTTCAGGGGAAACATTTACTGATGTGGTTGGAAGTCCTTATTATGTTGCCCCAGAAGTTTTGCGAAAGCATTATGGTCCAGAATGTGATGTTTGGAGTGCAGGGGTAATTATTTATATTTTACTAAGTGGCGTCCCTCCATTTTGGGATGGTAAGGATTTTATCTCTCTTTTTTTCTTCTACTGACTAACATTGATATAGCAAGCATATCTAATTTTATTTTATTTTTTGTTATTCCAATATTCTTGTACAGAAACGGAGCAGGGAATCTTTGAACAGGTTTTAAAAGGTGAGCTTGACTTTGTATCAGATCCATGGCCTAGCATCTCTGAGAGTGCAAAAGATCTGGTCCGAAAAATGCTTGTAAGAGACCCCAAAAAACGGCTAACTGCCCATGAAGTTCTCTGTGAGTATATTACCTTGTGATATGAATTTTTTATTCAATCTGCAAATCTCAAAACAGTTCAAGGAATCGGGACATCGGTTAGTTTAAAAAAGTTTGTGTCCTTTTTCCACTCTTCTCTACTGCGAATTTATAGCCTTGAAAAAGCCATACATATCTTTCCACCTTTGTATGGTTGAAAACATAATACCAAGGTTCAACATTTCAATAAATACGTATCTTTTAGTTTCCATTACACCTAATTTAAGGTGTTTTAAGATACTTTTTTAATAATTAAAACACATAAAAAATGGCCCCCTCTAAAATTTTGAAAAAAACTAAAAAAATAAAAAGGCACAAGGTTCAAAGTATCAATACACCTCTTTCGGCATTTCAGGGTGTATTGATATTTTGAACCTTGCATAATACTGTAGAGGCACAGTACAATAAACTGGTGTGGTCGCTCCTTATGTTTTATGTTATGGTCTTCTGTTTTTTTTTTTTTATTAGTTGCTGTTATTATTTTTTTCTTTTCTTGTTTGGGTGGCAGGGGTATTAGTGCCTTTGTACTGCTCTTTAATTTGCTAAGATATAAATGCTAATAGTGGGGTGGCAGGAACACAATAACTGCACCCCTTTTTTCTCATTCTCTTTCTCTTTCTCTTCTCTGTTCTCTTCTTCTCTTTTCTCTTTGTTGAATTCACATCAGAACGTAGATCGGCCGTGAACCCATTCAGCCACCTTGGTATCATAGCCAAGTCTAGGGTTTGTAATAGGGTTCTCATGTGGGCTTGGTCCAGCCGGCTGCATGAGAACTTCTTAGGGCTGGAGATTTCAGTCTTGTTTGCCTGATTCTTGGAGGTTATTGGAGAGTCCTGTTGGCTGTTGCTACCCAAGACTTATGGAATCTTGGAGATTGCCCATAGCCAGGAAGATTCAAAGATTTTGGGTTGATCAAAGGTTTAGGGATTAAACTGTTATGCAGGAGAGAAGAAGAGAGGAAGAGATAAGAGAGAGAGAAGAAGAGAGAAGAGAGATCTGAGAGCCAAATGTACTGCTGGCGGTGCCAGCTTTTGGTATATATACTAGGGCGACAGGATATAAAAAAATAAAAGGAGAAATTTACAATAGTACCCCTGTAGTACTATACTTAGAGAATTAACAGCTTTTAACACTCCCCCTCAAGTTGGGACATAGATGTCAATCATGCCCAACTTGTCACATAAATTATGATGCCATGAGTGGTGTAGCCCTTTTGTAAAGATGTCTGCAAGTTGATCTTCAGAGCTAACATAAGGAGTACACACTTCCCCTGTGACGACCTTTTCTCTGATAAAGTGTTTGTCGACTTTGATGTGTTTAGTTCTATCATGCAGCACTAGATTAGCAGCAATGTTTATGGCTGCTTTGTTATCACAGAATAGGGTCATAGGTCCATCAACTGGAAAACCCAACTCACTCAACAAATTTTTTAGCCACATAATTTCAGCCACTCCATGAGACATTGCCCGATATTCAGCTTCAACACTAGATCTAGCTACCACATTCTGCTTTTTGCTTCTCCAGGTAACTAGATTACCTCCTATAAAGGTACAATAGCCACTAGTTGGCTTTCCGCCATTCAGGGATCTTGCCTAATTTGCATCAGTATACACTTCAACTTTCAAATGTCCATGCTTTTGAAACAACAAGCCTGCACTTGGGAACTTCTTAAGATATCTGAGAACTTTTTCTGCTGCTTCAAGATGGGTAGTCTTAGGGGCATGCATGAACTAGCTAAGAACACTCACTACATAAGCTATGCCTGTTCGAGTCATAGAAAGATATAACAATCTTCCTACAAGTCTCTGGAATTGTTTCACATCCTTGATGGGTTCACTTTGACAGTCACCTAGTTTGTGGTTAGGATCAATAAGGGAATCAACTGGCTTCACTCCCAATTTTCCTGTATCCTGGAGTAGATCTAGGACATACTTTCTTTGGGAAATGAAGATACCCTTTTGTGAGTAGGCCACTTCAATCCTAAGGAAGTACCTTAAAGGACCTAGATCCTTCACTTCAAACTGGGTAGCAAGAAAATTCTTCAACTTCTGAATTTCATCCTTCCAATCACCAGTGATAACTATATCATAAACATATACTATCAGTGCTGCAATTTTCCCTTCCCCTCTTTTCATAAGCAATCAGATTGACATTGCTTGTGTCCTCTTTGTTGTACTGCTACATGGAACGTACTGAAACAGGCTCTTGGTGATTGTTTCAGCCCATATAATGATTTCTTTAACCTGCACACTTTCTGTTCATTACCTTGATCCCGAAAACCAGGGGATTGTACTATGTATACTTCCTCTTCAAGGTCACCATTCAGAAAGGCATTCTTGATGTCAAGCTAATGGAGATCCCAGTCAAGATTAGCAGCTAGGGAGAAAAGGACTCTAATGCAGTTCATCTTAGCAACAGGTGCAAATGTTTCTGCATAATCTACTCCATACACTTGTGTAAACCCCTTTGCTACTAAACGAGGTTTATACCGCTCCACCATGCCATCAACCCTGTGTTTAACTGTGAAAACCCATTTACATCCAATTGGATCCTTCCCCTCAGGAAGATCTACTAGTGCCCACGTGCCATTTTTATGTAACGCATTAATTTCTTCCTTCATAGCATTTGTCCATTCAGGTACCGAAAGAGCTTCTACCACATTCTTAGGGATATTAACATTGTCAATGGAAGAGAGAAAGTCCCGAAAGGAGGGTGAAATGTTTTCATAGGAAACAAAGTGGGAAATGGGGTGTTTAGTGGTGCAAGATCTAACACCTTTCCAGTGAGCAATAGGAAGGTCAAGGTCATTAGCAACAGAAGTATCAATAGCAATAGGGTCAGGAACATCAACAAGAACCAAGGTACCTGAATGGGTATGACCTGCCCCCGGAGAGTCTGTGGCATTGGTGGTACAACTTCTAGGTGCCCCATAGCTCTTGAACATGGTTGGCCTTTGTGACGACGAAAGAAGACATGAAAGGGAGGAGGATTAGGAAGAGGAGGGAGCTGAACCAGTTTCTCCTCATTCCTACACTCCCCCTGAGGAGAAATAGGGAAGAAAGGCTCACTCTCAAAGAAGGAGGCATCCATAGAAACATAAAATTTCTGAGAAACAGGATCAAAGCACCGGTATCCCTTCTGAGTGAAAGAGTACCCCAAGAAGATGCAAGGAATGACATGAGATCTAATTTTCCACGAGTGGGTGATAGATTTTGAACAAAACAACGACAATCAAACACACGAGGAAGAATAGAAAGAAGGGGAGCCTTAGGAAAAAGAAGCTGATGTGGAGCTTTGCACTCTAACCAACGAGAGGGCATACAGTTGATGAGATAGGTAGCACAAAGGACAGCATCAAGCCAAAAACGTTTCGAGACATTCCTATGAAATAGTAACCCCGGGCCACTTCAAGAAGGTGTCGGTTCTTTATTTCAACAACACCATTTTGTTGTGGTGTTTGGGCACAAGAGCTACGGTGAAGTGAACCACGCGAAGCAAAAAACTCCGTAAGATCACTATGGAAATATTCTTTGGCATTATCTAATTGAAAAATTTGGATTTCAGTTTGAAATTGGGTGAAGATCATCTGCTGAAAATCTTGGATAATTTTTGGTACCTCATCCCTGGTTCGCATGGGATATATCCATGTATATCTGGGGTAATCATCGATAATGGTAATAAAATACTTGTAGCCACTCTAAGATGGTAAAGTAACAGGGCCGCAAACATCAGAATGAACAATGTGGAAAGGAAATTCAGATTTATTATTCTTTGAAGAGAAATGAGTTCTACACTGCTTACTCAATTGACAAGTTTGACAAGTAAATTCTGACACTGATACTTACTTAAACAACTCTGGAAACACAATTTTTAAAGACTCTAAAAATAAATGACCAAGACGACTATGCCATAAATAGACCCGACTCTTACAAGACCGACCCTTAGACTTTGTGACTTGAAGACCAGCCTTATTTTTTTTTGATCAATAACCACATTTCATTAATTAATCACAAAAATATTACAAGGATGAAGATAAACTTTCTTATCTTCCAGCTGGAGCTTGAGCTCCCAAGAACAAAAAACGGAAAAATTACACTTGTGCCCAAAACATTAACTCCCTCTCGACTCCTTGCTTAGCTAACCCATTAGCAAAGGAGTTAGCTGATCTTTTCACCCAGCTGATCTTGATTTCCATCTCTTGAACCAGCCATCTAAATTTCCTCCTCTCATTACTGTACATCCATAAACTGCTATTTTCTTTATTCAGCCACCCTACCACCACCTTCGAGTCCCCTTCAATGATGAGTTTTCTTATATTCATCTCCTTGGCTCTTTGGACTTCTTCCAGAACTGCAAAAATCTCAGCCCTGAGAGAATCACCCACTCCAATTGGGCCTGAAAACATGGCTGAAACAAGCCCATTCTCATCCCTAAACACACCTCTAATCCCTGATTGTCCAGGATTCCCCTGACTACTCCCATCAAAGTTTAGTTTTAAAAAACCGGCTGGTAGGGGGGGTCCAAGGCACACTCATTACTGTTTTGAGTTGGGTGCAACTAGCAATCTCACTCCACTTCCTCAATAAATCATCCACTGTGAATTCTGTAAATGAAGACCAGCCTTATTCTCTAGCATGTAAAGCCCATCCACCATACATCCTCTACCAATCATCTTCCCCGAGGCCAGATCCCGGATCATACAGTAAGAATGGAAAAAGGTCATTGAGCAGTTTAAGGAATTAGTAATACTACTAACAAAGAACAAATTAATGGGGATTTTTGGGACATGTAAAACATTAGACAGGGTAAGGCCAAAAGGAAGAGAAATGGTTCCTTGACCAGCTATGGTAGAGTATGATCCATCAGCTAGTCTCACCTTGTCTCTTCCAGAAAGGAGGTGATAGGTTTGAAAGTAAGAGGACTTACCAGTCATGTGTTTAGACGCTCTAGAATCAATGATCCAAGGAGTGTCAGGGGTATGA